GAATCTTTTATAATACTTGGGTTTGTAGAAATATAGAAATTTTTCATCCATTAATTAAAAACCTTCATTCTCGGTTATATTGGATAGCCACAAAAAGGTAATGTATGCTGCAGCAGGTGTTATCTTTCTATTATATTCAGTATTACTCAAATTTACGCAACATAAGTTTATACAAAATTAAATGATTTACGGCCAGTCCCAGTGTTTTCCAACCTTTTCCATGGTGAAACACATTTCAAGGAACACTAGAGTAAATTGGGATTTCTAGTTATGGTAAATGATAACACAAGTATAGTAAAGCCTGTATATATTAGAATATATTAGAATTTATATGTATATCTACGGATGTACAAGTTCATCAATTGCATACATTTAAATTTTGATGGCTAATTTATTTGTACATTAATGTATTAATGACAATTGATGGCAAAATTAACAGTCAGCTTTGGGAAGCGTACACATAAGCGGCCAATGACTGAACTAATTTTAATCCAGTTAACGTAAAAGTGAATCGAATTTCAGGAAACATTTAAAAGCTTTATAAGCAGGTCGAAAAGTAATCTTCAAATAATAAGTGAAATTTGATAATCTGGTAACCGTTTGAACGTGGAATACAGCGAAAAATAAAGCATACTATAGTGATGAGCATGGTTGTCGGAAGAATGGTTATGCGCATGTTTGCCAGAGTTTGGCACATTCTGAAAATTTGGCGACTTCTACTAAGGTAGTTGCGCTAAGTAAGTACCATACAATTTTTCTTTAGAAAAGTATGTAACACTTTTAAAATGCTGAGGTAACACTGAAACATCCTTTACTTCTGAAACAGAACGTTAACAGAAATTAATTCTGCATATATTTTACTGGAAACGTAAGCCATTCTGTTTCAGGCTACATTACTAAATTTAGTACTCGCGTAACTTAAATGCCTTTGTTTTTATGCTTTCTCCTTAAATTTCTTTTCAGATTGTTTTAAACTGTGTCAGTTACTTAAAAGCAGACAGCATCGTTGTTCCCTAATTTAATCTCTTAACATTTCTTTGAACACTTAGTGACTGTGGAACACGATTTGGGAAGCCCTGGCCCATCCAATGCATGAAATATTTATATGCATTGCCTTTCGAAAATATTTTTATGTATACTTTATTGTGATTAAAAGGTTATTAAAAAAGGATGAACATTAGCAATGAGAATTTACATAATATGTGTGCAGTACATGTTTCGAAGTCTCCTTGAACTACTAATAAAAAAATGGCATGGGAAAAAGGCACAAACACAAGAAAAGATTATTCGACAAAATTCTGCAATAAAGAGTCAATGTAAGATAAATAATAAAACATCTAAGATCAGCTACTGAAACATGTCTATTTACTGCAGAATGTTTCTCGAATATTCGTACTCTTGTGCATTGTAGCATAACTTTGAGTCTCGCATGCTTTTACGAATACACAAAGATGAAGCTACAATTCGAGTTTCGAAAAGCATTTTACATGTTTATAGATATTAAGTTGATTGTGCTCATTAAATTTCATTCTTTTTCTAATTATTTTCATTTGGTATGCCTATTTTAAACTAAAATCATAATTACTAAGCGCAATCCATCTAATTCTGACTTGCTTAGATTAAAATTACAAGAAAATTACAGAAAAACAGCCAATATAATTCGGCTTTATTAAGTTTATTTGTTAGTCGAAAGGGGAATTTGCCCGGAAAGGCATTTCGTTTTGGCATTTTGTGTCGTCCACTCTAAAACGACGCTTCACTTTTCAAACTCTTGCCACCAAATAATAGAGCCCTGCATTATATTTAAAGAAATTAAATAATGAAGAATCTACATAAATGTATGTATGTTTCTTGCAATATGAAAAACCAACGGTACCTAGAGACATCAAATTTTGAATAACGTAGTCCTCCACTCGAATAGGGGTATCTGGAAACCCAAATTTGTAATCTGGAGTTTGCTTTATTATGTACTTCATATTTTGTAAAACATTAACGATTTTTTTTTATTAAAAAACTCAACGAATTCAAAGAGAGCATCGGCAACAGTGTACGGGAAAAAAAACATGTTTATTTCCAGCGCGAGACAGTGTATCAGAAATCCTAAAGATATGCTCTTTTTAAATATTTCGTGAAATTTCTGTTGAATTGAATTATATGGTTTAAGTGCGAAGAACATGATATTTAATAAATAACGGTAACACACGAAGCGTTAAAAAACGTCCCTTTGGGGATAATATAAAATCTGAAAACTTTCAAATTAAAAAAAAATATTTTATTTATTTAAATAAACTTAATAAAGCAGAATTATTTTGCTTATTTTCTGTAAAATTTCAGGTAAAATCCAGTCTTTATTAAGGGAAACAGAAAGGAGCATAATGGGATATACATAAATGTAGTATTTATGCTAAAATTCATCAACTGATGATGCATATATTATATTATTGCATATATAAAGATTTTTTTAATTTACAGTAATCAAATTATCTAAATATAACTGAAAAATCAAATGTATCTTTTTAAGGGTTGCTGAAAGACTTTTCTGCTACAGCCCAGATAAAAATAAGGTTCAATACAAGATATTATTTTCCTATTTCTAAAAGTATTAAGATGGTAACAAATGTCATTATGATACTTTAAATGTCTTCTTTTTCTATTGTTTCAGGTATTCATGTCATGAACTTAAAAATAGATATTTTTTAATGTGGTTTCAACGCAATGTGAAGGAAGGGAGTATTCTTTCGTTGCAATATCATACCCACTGTCGTTTCTTGGAATTTTTAAAACAGGTTTGAACATTCAAATGCAATTAGCAATGAAATCTGGCTTTTTATTATGCAGTATGCACTAATTCTTGTAATAAAATTGAAAATAGAATTGAAAATCTAAAATAGGTGGAAGGTTATACCATTTGTGAAGCTAAAATATGTTTCAAGAATTACAGAAATAATATTTTACTCATTAACTAATTCTTTAAAAAGAATAATCGCTGAAGAAAAACATATTGTTAACAAAATTCTAAAATAGTTTTTTTTTTTTTTTTATAAAAATAGCTATGAAAGCGTATTTGCAGCCAAAACTGGTACTGTAAAAATATAAATACAGGATGTGAACGTTCTTTTCAATCATTTTTGAAAAGGTTCAAGATTATTTTCTTATAAAACATGATACAAATATATGAAACTTTTAAAACATTGAAAATGTAGACTTGATGTCAAGATACATAAAAATATCAAAAGAATAATTCATTATAGTCTTGTAGCAATATAGCATATTTTCTCATGATTTGAAAAAAAAAATATAGATTTTTAATAATCCACCAATTTCATTAGTTCGTCAGTTAATTATCCAAAATACGATGATTTTCTATGGAATTTGCAAAACCAGCTTCAGAATTATCATTTTCATACGGATTATAATTATCTTTACCCTAAATCCAATTGAAATTATACACTGATGCTATTTAAAGAATTCACACCTTGATGAGCACTTTCAGTTAATATAATGCATTTTAAAAATTCCAAACAAATTTTAAATTAAACTCTTGTTTAAATTTCCCCAAAATAAATTACTTCTTAATTTATGGTCAGCTATTTAATTTATTTATACTTTTTTTTTTAATAAAAGCATTCCAAGTTTCTCCTTAAAGAATGTGTCAGTTTAATCTTTCAATATGATGATTATAAAATGTTCTTTATATTTTTACACTTATAAAGATAATGAAATTTAAAATACTTTGATCCGAGCAAACATAACAAGAGTTACTCAAGCTGTGATTTTAGATACAACATAAACGGATTTAGCATTTTATATTTTATTTTTAATCATACAGACGTGCTTTATATACTGTACTATTGTACTATAAAGTTGGTGATAGAAGTCTTAGAACAACACATTTATAGTAATATATGAAGCATAAAGAAGGTACTTGTACATATAATAGTTAATAAAATTACCTGTGCTCATAATAATTTGCATATAATCTGAAATAGATTTCTCTCTCTATACACGATTCCAAAATTTAATAATCTTTGCAAACTGTTAGCATAATATATATTTGTAATACTTCAAAAAATTGTTTTTAAGTCTAAGATGTAAACACAATAATTGCAATTTAATGCAATATAAATCTGCAACTAAAAAATAGCTTCTGGCTTTAAGATATCTATACACTGAGCGCAATTTAAAATAATTTATATTTGTAAAAGTTCGAAAAATTTCTTTTAGCTTTGGAATAGCTGCACAATAATTGTCATTTAACATAATGTATATTTATTACATTGAAATATTGCTCCTTATTAAGGTACCTATATAATAGTTGCAATTTAAAGTAATATACATTTGTAATACTTAAAAAAATTGCTTTCAGCTTTAAGCTACCTACATAATAATTGTTAATTCGAAACAACAATAATAATTCGAAAAGTTAATTTAACTTAAATTAACTTTTCGAATTATTACATTTCAGCTTTAAGGTACCCATGCAATAACTGCAAATTAACAATATCTATATTTGCAAAATTTTAAAAATTTCTTTTAGCATTTAGTTTTACAATAATTGAAATTTAAAATAATGTACATTTGTAATACTTTTAAAAATTGCTTTAACATATCTATACAATAATTGAAATTTAACATAATGCGTAGTTATTATATTCAGAAAAAATTGCTTTGAGATATCTATACAATAGTTGGAGTTTAACATAATGGACATTTGTAATACTTTGAAAAATAATATCTATACAATAATTGCAATGAATCATAATAATCATTTGCAATACTTCAGAAAATTGCTTTTTAACTTAAGATATCTGTACAATAATCGCAAATTAACATAAAGTACTTTTGTAATACTTCGAAAAGTTGCTTTCAACTTTAAGGTATCGACTCAATGATTGCAACTTAATGTACATTTGTAATACTTCGAAAAGGTGTTTTTAAATTTAAGATGTTTACACAATAATTGCAGTTTAACGTAGGAAGAATAAATGAAATTTACTCACCAAAAATGTTTAAAGTGTGTCTCCACAGTCGAAAACAGATCCCCAGAATGACGGGTTTTCAAAATGAGGAATCTCCGGAAGAAAACAAACTTTTCAAAAACCTCTCGTGCCACTTTCACTGCCTCTGAGCATCACTCGATAGACTTTCGTCACCGAACTGCGCTTCCGGGCAAACTTATATCACCATCCGGCTGCCAACCCCGCCCCCGAGCGATTCCATTGGGCACCTGTTGCCGCCTCGGGTCGTGATTGGAGGTCACGATTCCGCCGGAAGCTGTGATGCAGAAGAGAAAGAGTGAGAGAAGAAAAACTGGTTAACAAAATTGTCGTTAGTTTCATTGCTTCACGTAAATTTTATTTTTTGTAGTTGCTTTCTTGCTTTTCTGTTAAAAAAAAAATAAAAAGACTCCTTTTTCCGCATTTTCATTTTATTTGAGACTCAAAATCGGAATTTCGTGACTGGAGGGAGTGGAAAACATTTTAGAGAAAGAATAACTTTTCATTAGGTTTGAGCTTGGTTCAATTATTGGGAATAATAAGGAATAGTCGTTTAACTTGTTTCAATTTTTATTTTAGACCCAGTTTTGCCATTTTATAAATTCTTTGACATGTTAACACACTAGCTGATTTATTCAAATAATGAAGCGTTTTAGGAACTTACGCAAAAATAATAATAATCAACTTAGATACCAAGTCTCCGTGAAATGAGCATTCATGTATAACAGGCTGAAGTTAAGAAGTCAACCTTGACAAATTAAAATAGCTCAACAAGAGCTTCTTATTAAATACTAATAAATGCGTTGTATTTTATTATAATGCAATTTTAAAAATGTTAGAAAGATTGATTAAAATTTGCATTCCTGTTGAATACTTATTTTTAATAACATAAACAGGAAGGAAATTTTTTTTATGCTTACATTTTTATTGTGTCTTAATATATAATTTAATGGTAAAAGACATTTAAATCCTATTAATAATGCTGTCGTGATTTGATATAATATACACAATAAGTATACGTTTATTATTCATAAGCCAAGAACTTTATTTTTTTACAAGCAAAACAATATTTATTTTTGAAAAAATTATTTAACGAATGAAGTATCCGAGAATTAAGTTCGATATTTTCTCAAGAAAATATGAATAAATTATATTTTTTTCCATATATTTTTATATCATATCTGTTATTTCGTTTTTAGCCCACAAAGGTCTACTAGTCCTGAAACGCAATTTTGTGTTGTTTCACCTCAATGCGTTGTTTCACTTTTCATTCGAGTCTAATGAACTTCGGAAAAACGTAAGCTACTGTTCTTTCATATTTAATCTGACTGTTATTAATTAATAGACTAAGCTACTTTAAAAAATAATAAGTTCTTAAAAACACATTTTTTCATTTTAATTTGATTGATTTAAATTAAAAAAAACCTTTTATTATTTATACATCTAATAAAAAACATTAAATATTTTTACAGCAATATGCTACATATTTTTTCGTTTTTAAAACATACAGAAGATGTACAAGTATAATGTTCCTATTTTAGTCTAAATGTATATTTATCTAATGTCCTATAAATGTCTAATATCTAATGGTTAATGTTTCTCTATTCAGCTAGGTCATCTCTGTTAATAATCTTCACTATGATAAATAATATTAAACTTTAAAAGAATCTTGTTAACTAACATTAAAATCTGAGCGTTTTCAATTTTTTTTCCCTTTTTCTTTCTCTTTCTCTCCCGCTTTTTAAACCTTTTAGATCATGTTTTTCGCAATTTTATACGTTGTTTAGCCTTTTAACGTACTTACTGAATTATGCATGCTGGTAAATTTAATTAAATGTCTTGATTTTATAATTTATTTATAGCATATTTCAATATAAATGTAATTGTTTAATATAAACAATAATATAATAAGGCTTAATATAAATGCAATTTATATTGAGCCTTATATATGTCTTGATTTTATGATTTTTTTGCATATTATTTATTTATTTTATTATGTATTTTCTCGATTTTATAATTTATTTATATTCTTTTTAATTATTTATATTATGCCTATTAAATTTTCCCTTCTTTGCATTCTTAAGGATTTGCATGATTTAAAAAGTTCGACAATTTCTAATTTTTAAAATTTTATTTATTACTGAAATAAAATTTAGATCATTGAACTTACACCCATGTAAGTAACTTCAGCATAAATTGAATTTTCAAGCGATTACGGGCCCTCCATTGATTTTGTAAAAATTATAAAATGAATATAAAAATTATAAATGTAAAAATTATAAATATCAACTTATTATCATTTAATTATATCCAATCTGAAAATTTATAAAATATAAAATTTAAGATTCGATTCCTATATTCTTGCATCAATATTCTGACTATATACTATTTACATTAAAGCGTGGTTAAAATGTTTTTCTTTCACCCTGTATATTTATTTTTACGGCAGAGCGATGTATGTCTCCGGGAAAGGAAAATACAGAAAACTGAACTACGTCATCTGTAAAATATCACTTTATTATTAAATTTTCTTTATTTTACATGTCATAAAACAAGTTGGCAATATAGTATTTGAAATTCAATGATTCGAAATAACAATTGTGCACTTATTCCGAAAGCTTATTTCCTTTTCTGAGAATACAAATGAAATTCTAAAAAATATTAATTTGTCATTTCATTCCTTGCTTTCGAACTACTGTTACTTATCAAATACATTTAATTATCCGTTATTTACATATTTTCTCCTTTTTTTCTCAGATACTCACATTATTTACTTTTATCATTATATGAATTTTAAATGAGCCTATGTAAACTTTATGAAAAGTGAAACTATTAACAAGCTAATAGTCTGTGAAACAATTTGAAATATATTAACAAGACATAGATAAAGCATGTGTTAAAGCGATCATGAACACATTCACTGTCACATTCTTATCATAAAAATCAATTTTATATTAATTTATTTACATTGTGTTTTCAGAAAATATTTCAAGAGAAAGGGTAAATTTTGGAGATAAATAAATACATCGATAAATTTTTATTTAATTATTTAATTTAGAGCATTCGCGAGTAGATTAAATAATGCAATATTTTCTCAGTAAAAAACCATATATGCGTTACGAGTATTGATACAAAAATTCCTATTTGTTCGATTTCAGGGAAAGGAGGTTCTAATTTATAACCTCTTTCTAGGGGATCTCTAGCGGTAGATAAATAGGCTTACCACGCGTACAACTTTGACAGGTATTATCCTGAGTTGATGATGTAGTCCCTGCGTTCCAGTCATTTTGTCCTGGTTATTCGGTAAAATTTTATAAATGACTATATAAGATATTTACCTCGCCTTTTTTGCATGTCTTCGTGGTGTAGTGGTCAGCATGCTCGACGCGTATTCGAGAGGTCCGTGGTTCGATTCACGGCGAGGGTATTGCTCATTTTTCATTTCTCCTGCTTTCAAAAAATACCTAATGTCTCTACAGTGGCGCCCGAACTAAAAAGGTGGTGGATGATGAGTCTCCACCGCCAGGATTAGGCGATTGGGTCCTCTAATCCCCAGCGCCCTTTAAAAGGGGGAGTACATAATGTATTTCTCCCGCCTTCTTAGCATGCCTTCGTGGGGTAGTGGTCAGCACGCTCGACGCGTAGTCGGAGGTCCGTGGTACGAGTCCCGGCTAGGGCATTGCTCATTTTTTATCTCTCCTGCTTTGAAAATACACAATGCCTCTACAACTAATGTACAAAAATAAAAATAGAGTAGCCTTGGGTAAAACAACGGTATGGCAATTAAAAGATCCCTTCTGTTATACTCACTGTTGCCAACATAAATATTTTGTATCTAGATCTAAGTACTGTAATGCTGTCTAGATGTGTTCTCCAAGAATTATAGCATGTGACCTAATGAATTTGGATGTTTTATACTTTTCTTCAGATACTTTTTTCCAGCGTGTAGCCTAAGATTTTAATTTTGTGATAAAAAAATTCTGGCCTGTCAATTGTTTTTTATAATGCAATTCATCTTAAACCATTCATCTTAAAGTCAAATGGCTTGCGGGCCATTTGACTTTAAGATGAATGGTTTAGATTACTGAAATCTTCCTCAGATTCTTAAAATTAAGCAAATGGATATGTTTCGCGACTATTTTTAATAAATTATTTATAGTCCAAATTTCTAGTCTAAAAAACCTTTCTTCAAATTAAATTATCCACTTAGTAGTTTTTCGATTCAGAAATAACAGAAAGGTTGTAGGTTATCTTATGTTAACTAACCAGTTATTATTATTTCACTCTTTACTATGAAATCTCCTTTCTGTATTCTTCACCAGAATGCAAATTAGTAGCGAGAATTTAAACTGAGGTATTTGGATTTGCGATGGAGACTGTTTCTGGCATCGTATGCGCGCTACGTGGCTAGTTTTCTGCCAACCCTAAGAGTTCTAATTATTCGGCTTTGCGGTTTCTCGCTGATGACACCTTGATTGTATGCGATTTTGAGCCAGCTTCTAGTATAGTATTTATTTGTGTAATCTTCGACTATCGTTCAATGTTTAATTTAAATTAGACGCCGCGCAGACTGGAAAGTGGTTAGTGACTCTGGTGGCCATACCGAAGACCCGAGGTTCGAATCCCGGAGAACACATGGATGTAAAATTGTCTGTCTATTCACAGTAAGTAATGGTGGCAGCCTATTAGTTGCCTCTATGATAAAATGATCACTGCTTCTAGCCTTAGTTGGGGCCAAAGCCTAAAAGGGCTAGTGGGCTAGTGGCGCCTAGCCTAAAAGGGCTACTAAAACTCAATAAAAATTTTTAATTGGACTGGTCTGTTTATTTGCATCACCACGAGTTGTAGTTATTGTAGTATAAAAACGTGCACTTATGTTCCGAGTTCTTTTTAAATAAAACGGTTATTTCAACCTTCCCAAGACTTTGCTAATGTTCTCAGACATAGCGTTAACTCTCTTCACATCTGTTAGGGTTATAGAACTAAAATATAGCATTACCAGATCAAGCCTGTAAACTTTCAGAAATTTTCTATTTATTTTTTGTCCAAAGAGGCGTTAAACCCAAAGGGGTATTAGTATCAAAACGGCATTTTGCGTCGTTTTCACGTTTTCTGCGTTGGTTCTCTTTTCAAACTGTTGCCACCAAATACTATGGCCATGTACTATATTTAAAGAAACTAATTAATGAAGAACTGCATAAATGTTTCTCGCATTGTGAAAAAACAACGGTACCTAGAGCCATCGAATTTTGAATAACGTA